TGATCTAGTCATCCAGTCCAGGGGCTGGCAGACTTCTCTGTAGACGGTCAGCCAGGAATCGTGCGAGTGTTTGAGGACCATGTTGTGCCTGGGTTTCTGTTGCAATGACTGGGATTGGCTGTTGCAGTGCAAAAGCAGACACGGTGACCTGGAAATAAATGTTCTAGCAAAACTGAGAGCAGCAGGCCACGGGATGGACTGGATTTGGCCCACTGGCCATGACTGGCTGACCCTTGATCTCACCTGACTGCCCCTGCCTTTTTTTAAAGCATGAATTAATCAACAGCATGAAACCGTCACATTGCTAGGGGTGGTGGAAGGTGAAGAACTTGATAATAACACGGAACGCTGGTGCTCAGGAACCAGTGCTCTACTCTCATCATCTTCATTACGATCATCTAAAATCCCCAGGATGCTCCCAGTGTTGAGTGAATGGACAAAATTAGCTCTTATTTGTTGATAGTTTCGGCGTTTGCTGTTCTAAGACTGCTCTTAGCTGTCAAGTCTGACAAGGCGGCTTTTTGAGAAAATGCAGTTGTTGTCTATGGGTCACATGCCGGGGGGCAGATGCCTGGGGTTTCCCTATGCTGAGGGCCCAGTGAAGCAAGGAGCGGGTACGTGTGCCAGCCTGGGGCACTGAGCGCCACACTGAGCAGTGAGGAGGAAACACCAAAGGCAGTTGGCCCCGGTCATGCTGCCATCCCGTCCCGCGATGCTGCCAACAGCTCTCTGCCTGCTGTCTGTGACTGCTATAAGGTGAGCCCAGCTTTGTCCCTGATGGGGCAGAAGGCCCTGTGTCTGCCCACCCCGCAGGGTACAAGCACTCCGTGCACTAAACACCACACAGCATGGGAAGAGAAATCCTTACAGCTCTTTGCTCCTTCCAGTATTGCTCTGGGGCTAGACCCAGAAGGGCAGCGCTGCCTGCTAGGAATCCTTCCATTTCCACTGCTTTCCCCACCCGCATTGCACTGTGAAGAGCTTCTGACATTAGGACCGAGCAGATGTCCCAAAGCCGGGTCTCGGTCTCTTCATGCACGTGATTGTCACGCACCACCCCCTGCCCACCCTCGTGGCTCAACAGTGGGAGATGCTATGACGCACCCTCATCACAAAAGGTCCTCAGGACAGCACGCAGGGGAGACCCGGCGATGGTTTCCATGGCAACGATTTAAATTTTATTAGTTCTGTCCTCACAGAGCTGTGACATGGCACTGCCCGTCCTCACGTGGAGAGATTCGCTGTCGGAAAGCTCAAGGACAAATAGCTGCTCAGTCTGCTGACTGCCAAAATCCTTCCTGTGCTGCTGGGGACATCACGCCCTGTGAACACGGCCCCAGGCTCAGGCGGAGATGCCCATTAACATTCTGCATTATCCGTGTGTGTATGAGACATATTTTCACATAAAGCAAATAATATGCTTTTTGGCACACTAGAAATAACTAATCTTAACTCTTATCTCCCAGAATTATATTCATGACAGATTAATGAAGCAGGTCTCTAAGAACTCCCTGCTTCAAAATGCTTAAAACTGGCTGGGTGCAGTGGCTCATGCCTATAGTCCCAGCACTTTGGGAGGCCGAGGTGGGTGGATCACAAGGTTAGGAATTTGAGACCAGCCTGGCCAATATGGTGAAACCTCGTCTCTACTGAAAATACAAAAATTAGCTGGCTGTGGTGGGGCATGCCTGTAGTCCCAGCTGCTCAGGAGGCTGAGGCTGAAGAATCGCTTGAACCCAAGAGACAGATAATGCAGTGAGCCGAGATCACGCCATTGCATTCCAGCCTGGATGACAAAGTGAGACTCCATCTCAAAAAAAAAAAAAAAAAAAAAAAAAGCCTAAAACTTTTCTAAAAGGTGGCTTTCCCTGGCCTGGCTGATGCCTGGTGTGGGGCTGGAGTGCTGGGCTTGATCCTGCTGCGAGGTGGCAGCATTTTTAGGAGTCAGTTCTAGCCAGGCCTGATTACTGATGGATAACCCAGCATATTAGTTCATCTCTCTGAGCTTTACTTTCTTTTTAAAAAACAAAACAAAACAATGCACGATGAGATCCGATATCAGCATTCACATAGCCAGGCACTGCGCTGGCACAAGGATGATGGCATGAGGACCCAGAGTCCCAGCTCTGGCATGGCTGAGCTTGCGGGCAGAGGAACGTGCACAGGAATACCCTTAGCACAGCACTGCTGAGTCTCAGAGGGGCACGGGCGTCAAGAGGAGCATGGACAGAGGGGTCCACGCGGCGAGAGCCATCCACATGCCTCGCTCAAGAATCTGTCCCTACCCAGACTCTGGTGTGAGTCAGTTGTGAGGAGGTGCTCAGAATGAAAACGCAGCCTCCTGGCCCCCTTCCCTGGCTTCCCGCTTGCCAAAGGCCCCAGAGCTGGAGAAGAGGAGACATTGACACTAAAATCAAGGCTGTTATATCAGAGGAGACATCCTAAGACTAAATGGAGACAGTGTGTGCAACATGAACTAACCATAGAACTTTCTGGTAACTAAATGTTTTCAGAAAGTCACTGAACTATCTCAGTTTTCTTCCAGGGCGTCCTCTACTTGACTAGATCTGAGAGGCATAGAGAGTCAAAATTTGCTTTCTGATCTTGTCTCCAAACCCTTTGAAAGTGCTGGCTATGATCTGCAGCTACATTCTAGGTCTGACATGCTAGCATTTTATCTAGACAGGCCTTTTATTGTATTAAATCCGAATACTTAAAAAAAAAACCTCTAAGAAAATGTTAGTAAAATATTTTCAAGTGAGAGGTTTCAGAGGTTTTTTTTTTTTTTTTTTTTTTTTTTTTTTTTTTTTTTTTAACAGAAGCCAATTTGGCTTCATGTTTATGCAAAAGGAAAAAAGATTTTTTGACTAAGCCAAAGTACTAAAGAAATAACAGTTAAAATTATTAGGTTGGAAAATTTATCCAGCTGCATTTTTAAATTACATTCAATGTCATAGAAAGTTCATAGTAATGCAAACAACGTCTGTTTCTGTCAAGATTCTCCCTGGAAAATATTCTCAGAAGAGCCTCAAAGCCTCAGAAATCCAAATTAATCAAGTTTATTGCTCCACATACTGACTTTTGTACCAAAGGGCTTTATGTTAAAGCTGTAAAGTGCCCCAAAGCAAATGGCAAATGACACTTAAATAAACACACTCTTGAAAACAAATTTCGATGCCATCAAAAATCCTGTTTAAGTTGTTGTAAATTAGCTACCTTTTTGTTGTTGTTGTTGCTGTTGTTGGTTTTTGGTGATTTTGTTGTTGCTGTTTGTTTGCTTTGAGACAAGGTCTCAATATGTTGCCCGGGCTGGACTTGAATTCTTCGGCTCAAGTGATTCTCCTGCCTCAGACTCCTGAGTAGCTGAGACTACAGGTATGTGCCAATCAGCCCAGCTATCTTTAGCAAAAAGCAAAAATAAACAAACAACAGGTCTCTCCATGCACCTCAACTGGGTGTCTCTGTCCTCTGGGCCCTGCTTCCATGTAAGCCCGTCCTCCAGGGCTGTGTCTCAGTGGTGAAACCCTGCTCTGGTCAAGAACCTGAGAATCAGTGCAGGGAGAGGGACAGCAGATGCCTGCAATCAAAACTCAGAATCTCCCTGCAGGGTCCTCACAATGATGTTCGCATAAGGAGTGTCACCCGCACACATCTGTCACTCCGCTCTTTAGCAGGCGAGCCCAAGGCCCAGAATAGATATGAAAACAAGGCCAGATAGAGTCCACAGACTCTTTACAATTTCATTGTATGACTCTGAAGCACTTCAGAGAGCAGAGCTAAGGACCTCTCCTGGACATTCCACGGGGCTTAAGGCTTTGCAATATGATCCTGAGAATCACGTTCTGCTCCGTGTACACCGGCCATGCTGCTCTCTCAGAGGACCCCTGGGTCTGCATCAGGCCTGCTCCGGCAAGGAGGGCTATGCAGGGCCAGTGGAGGGCTCACGACAAAGGGTCATAGGATGTGGTCCCAAAGCACTCACTATATTTAGAAATCAGGGCAAGTCAGTTAGCCTCTCCAGGGATCCGTTGATTCGATAATGACAAATGAGCCTTGCAGAATTGCTGTGACACTTACTGGGATAAACGACTTGTTTATTCATTCAGCCGCTACTCTCTAGGCCTGTGTCCAGCGGTGAGTCAGTGTCCTCTCTGCAGAGAGGACACCTACAGTCTCACTGTTGTTGGTGGCTCCTGCCATTTCTGCAATGCCTACCCTCATGACTTCTCTCCATGACAGCATCTTTTACAATTTGGGCCAGTCCAGGAGTTTAGCCCTCAAGCTTAGGCCTTAAGCTGGCCGAAATTCCATACCCCACGAGGGCCATCATCTTTAAACCACCCCCAGGAGACTCAATTGTTTTCCATAGATTCTTCCTGCTACCCAACACATCCCTAGACAAGGTCTTCAAACTGTGAGCTGTCCAGAGAATCCAGAATTTCTACTGAATTTCAGAAGTGTCGTTTACATCAACTTTTTCACTCCTATCAAATGCTGTATAATCATATCTACCAAAAGAACTCCCCACAAAGTTATCCACATTCATACACTGCGGGAACCGTAACCAGCAGATATACCAGGGCACCTACCTCTTTCAAACTGTAGCTTTTTATATCTTTGCATAATTTCAGCTGCAACCATGCACTCAATCTAAGGAAAAAAATACAAACAAGAATTATAACAAGCTGAGAGCGAGAATATAATGCTTCGTTCACCCAAACAAAACCCACATTATTCCAACAAGCTGAGCAGTGAATGCTAGTGCACGCCCAACAGCCCGATTGGTTCAATTCCACCTGCCTCGTTCTCCTGTAGGTGGCCCTGTTTAGGGCAGGCAGCATCTGGGCAGCTAATTGCGGTTTCTAATCCTTCTTTGATCAAGAGCTCCACATACTGTTTCAGGCACTGAAAGAAAACAGAAAAGTGTCTCTATAAACATCTTTACCTCCTTAATTCCGAAGAAACCATGATGCATTAAAAAAAAATGACCAGGCACATGGTTCCATTACAGTGTAATATTTTCACTGTGCAGTGCACAGCGATCAACACAGTTCAGGTTTAGAGTTTCCTTCATTCAACAACTATTTATGGGGTACCTGTGCTGTGCCAGGGACTGTATGATCGATCACAAAGCTAAGGCTGTCGGTTAGATTCCGGCACACAACCTCAGGAAACACAAGAGCCAAGAATTCTACCATCAAGAAGAAGGGCACCAAGGGAGGCTGGGAGGTAATGTTTCTCAAATGCATCTGTGATGCAGGCGCGGCACTAAATATTTTATCTCCTATTGTTTCACTGAAGCCGTGGAGCATTTTTACAAGGAAGGCAAAACTGTTCCATTTCTCATATGTGAAAACTGAGTCAGCAAAGAAGGAAGCTGCCAACTTACACAGATAGTACCCAGAGCCTTGATGTGAACCCAAGCTTGCTCAGAAAAAATGCCCATGTCCTTCCTGCTGAGAACCTGAGTGTGTCTGTCTTTCCTCACTCACCTGGCAATTACTCACTGCCTACCTTACCTACTCAGGAGCGCTGCTTAAAGCCTGAAGTGAGTCAAAAAAGAAAAAAAAAAAAGTGAAAGACTTGAAGTAGAGTTAATACGAAAGATTCCATGGTCTTCACTCCTGCTTTACAAAGCCTAATAGAAATCTAGTAGAAATCTAGTGATTCCCTGAAAAGCATATTACAAACAGCAACGAGAAGAAACAATATGGCCTTCGCCACCTAGGCTCACCACTCACAGAAACCAGATATAGAGCTTCTTTAAGAAGTCAAAGAGCACAGAAAAAGAAAATGATGTGAAATACCACAGTGGCATCCCCAGATCAACTTTAATCACGGTCCCGGTATGCTTAAAGTTCATAATAGCAGTAATATTATAATATTACAATAACATTATGAAAATAGAATAGCAATTCATCAAGAATAATTCATCAGCTATATCTGCTAAGCTGATACCTTCCCGCAAAAATGTATAATCCATTTTATTACAAGAATGCATGATTATTACTAATGAACGGGTCCAAACTGAAATCCAAGATCAATTCCTACTACCCCCATGTTCAGAACAAGTCTGTTCATCGCCTTCTTTATTTTCTTGATCTGCATTTTAGGGACAGTTCAACCTACGTTACAGTGAAGTTGTGGGAATCTTAGGCAAGGGAAAATGTCAAGAGGAATACATGGAAAAGAGTATATGCTTGATATATATAAAGAATAATTTGATCTAAACTGGTAATTCTCCCCATTCTAGCAACCAAGACTATTTCATTCATTGAAGACTCTAGATTGCAATTTCTTTAAAAAATAGAAATCGAGGTGACCCTCAGAAAGAGCCACTTCCCAAAGCTTTTCTCAAGAACTGTAACTTCAAGTGCAAATTACAATGTTGGCGGCTCCACACTGAACCCTGTGTTCCAGCCTGAGACCTTTTGCTCTGCCTGGGCTCTGATGATTGTAGTGACCATGAACTTAGGTTATCATGGATAATCTACATTTTGCCAACCTGAGGTTTATGAAGACAGTCCCCAGAGTAGTGAGTATAGATGAGGCCGGGCTTGGAGTTCTACATGAGGCTACAGATGGCATAGTTTTCAGAGATAAACTCATTAAAACCAATGCAAAGACTTTTTTCCAGAACAAGGGAGAGGCAGATGATGAGCAAGAGAGAGAAGAGTCACATCAGCCTCCAGCAGGGCTGCAGCCCGCTTCTGGGCAGTGTCCACCGACATGTGACGTGGCAGTGGCGCTGTGGACCACCAGAGTAGTGAAGTATTGTAACAAGGATCTGAAAAGCTGGCAGAGCAGTGGAACTTTCTGTTTGTGACTGTGTCCCACATGAGAAGGGAGAAAGACTGTAGGCTTCACAGCCACAGAGGCTCAAGCAATCCTTGTCCAAGTCAGAGTTGGGCCAACAGCTCCCTTGACAATGAAAGTGGAATGCCCATCTTCCTGCACTTCTGTGACAGTAAGACATGAAACCTATGAAAGCATCTGGCACAATTCCTGGTAGACAGCACCAGCTAAGTAAATAGTGGCTGTTAGCTCTTTTTTGTCTACTTATGTGATATCCCTCTTACAGTTATAGGCATTTAAAAATCCCAAAACCTCAGCAACAAGATCATTATTTTACTTTCTATAATGAGTTTATCTAAATTGGGTCTCTGGAGGATACTGGAATGCTTAGACCAATTGACAATGCTGAAAACTCACAATATTGTGCAGATCAGTATATAATGATAGAACATGACTCTTCCTAAGAAGCAAAACACGATTAAAACTGGTGTGCACACCCATATGGCAACAAGTGGTGAGTCACATCTGGGTCTCAAAGCTTCCCAAGAGTGAACACCATGTGTAGTCAGGATGCATCTATCTGTGCGATTTGCAAAACGATTATCTTCTGGGAATATCAATTTGTTCACTATATAAAGAGAGATGAAGTTCCAAGTGCCTGATCTTGCATCCATCAAAAACAAGCTCAGCTCTCTTCCAGATATAAAGTGGGTCATGACTCACAAGCTATGGTTTTCAATCTAATTGCAAAAAGATGTCTTGAAATCAGCACAGAAATAGGTAAACAGAGAAACTTTTGTAAAAGACACAGCCCACCAGCAGACAATGATGCATGCTCCTACTGTCACATGAATTATAGGTATCAGCAGTCATATGCCTCCTAATTCGTAGACTCTATGTGAATCACATTACCTATGTTAGCTCACCAAACATGCACAAAAAAATCGCTGTTATCACGCTCACATGACATATGAGAAATCAAGGCTCAGAGAAGTTAAGAACGGCTCAAGGAGAAGCTCTGAGGCTCAGACGCACCTGTGGCTGAGTCCAAGGCTGGTCAGGTTCTATGTTGGTTTGTTTTAAATTTTTTGCATACTTCCTCCTCAACTGAAAAATTTTAGATGAGCCAGTTTAGAGAGCTAATGTACAACATGAGGGCTAACTTTAATCCAACTGTGTTGTATCAGGAATTGTTGTCAAGTGAGAGGTTAGCTGCTCATCACTATAAAAGGCAACTATGTGAGATGACACCTCTGCTGAGCTGCTTCACTCTATGACCATTTTATTATCCATATGTATCCCATAATACCATGTTGTAAACCTCAAATATACACAGTAAAATTTAGTTTTTTAAACAAGGGCTCTTTCAAAAGCAATCATTCACTAAGTATTTTTTGATTACTTCATAAACTGTTTTGTAGAACAAGGAATCATACGTACTTTAAAGGGGCATAGTGTCAGTCAACCCGAGAACATCTCATTTATATGTTCACACTCAGGCTGCTGCCAATGCAATGATCCGTGCTACCAAGACCCACACAGCCCCGTGTGGGGGAAAGAGGCATGCACAGATCATCACCACGATGCACTGTGCTCCATGCTCTCATGGGGCCACTTCAAGGGGGCGTGGAGGCTCTCACAGGCCACTACAGATTAACAAGGATGGGTCCCGCCTGGGTGGGACCAGGGAAGGTTTCCCAGAGATGAAAAGTTGGGCAGAGGGTCAAAGGCATTGCAGGAAAAAAGGCATTAGCCACACAAAGAGAAGAAAGGGATGGGGGAGAGTGAGCCACAGAATGTTCCAGGAATTTCATTTTCCACTATGGTTTCCAACTCTTTGAAACCTGATGAGGAGACAGCACTGCTGATTTGCTAATATACCTCCAATGCGTCAGAAGTTTCCTGCCAAGGAGAAGCAGCCACAGAGAAATATCTGCCTTGCCTAAAACTACAGCAAGTCTGATTTTTCTCTGCTTTTTCACACGAAGTCCTGTTGGCTACTGATGGCTCTAAACGCAGGAGAAAATGCCTAGAAGCTGTGCATCAGAGATGCTCATCTGGGATCCACGATTGATTAACACAAGAATTACATGCAGGCAGGTCCAAATGAAAGCGGCAAGGGCGCCGTGAACAGCGGGTGGGGGAAAGGACACTGGAATCACAAGGCTGCCTTGAAATTGTAGCTCACCCACTTAGCAGACATGTGGCTCTAGCATGGACCTTCATCTCCCAGTGCCTCCACTTCCTGATACTGTGGGATAAGCTTGGCAGACAGAAAGAAAATCACTCCACAGCTCCAGTGCCTCAGAGACAGTGGGGCTCTGGAGTATTAATCACACACTCCACAAGGGTTTCTCTCAGCCTTTCTGGAGCCTTCAATAATCCATGGTCTGTTTATGTTTCTTCTCTAGTAGATGGTGAACTCTTTGAAAGCAAGATCTATTAATTATTTATCTTTCTATTCTCCATACTTAGGAGAGTGCTGGCAAGTAGCAAGGAATGCATCAAAGCTGTGCAGATAGAGGGTGGATGGAAGGTCCTAGAGATGAGTAGAACACACACAGAGTAACCAGACACCTGACAACAGACATTCCTCTGCAGCCCAGCAGGGGGCTGGAGCCCTGAGAGAGGTGTGCTAGCTACACACCACCATGGCAGGGCAATACCAGTTGGGTCCTCAGCACAGCCTGGAGCGCTGCAGTTAAGGAGCCTGGAGCGCTGAGGTTAAGGAGGCTGGAGGCAGGACCCCCAGCACAGCCTTCCTAGGACAGCCTCCAGAGGACAGCCTCATGGGAATCCCCTGGCAACTTCACTGGGTGGCCTGGGAACCTGGAGCCAACTGCCCAGCAAGCTGCCCAGTATATGTTCCGGCAAAGATCCCTTTCCTCGAGGATGAACGAATGTGACTTCACTCACATTCTAAAGAGGTCAAAATACAAAGTTTGCATTAATAAAATTCTTGAAAAAAACAATCCAGACTTTACACACAAAATAAATGCTCTCCTCTACATTAGCTGTTTTTGTTTTTGTTTTGTTTTTTCCAGTGGGGTCTCAACTCTGTTGCCCAGGCTGGAGTGCAGTGTTACCAGTCTTGGGTCACTGCAACCTCTGCCTCCTGGGTTCAAGTGATTCTTCTGTCTCAGCCTCCTGAGTAGCTGGGATCACAAGCATCTGTCACCATGTCCAGCTAATTTTTTGTATTTTAGTAGAGATGGGGTTTCACCATGTTTCCCAGGCTGGTCTTGAACTCCTGACCTCGTGATGTACCTACCTCGGCCTCCCAAAGTGCTGGGATTACAGGTGTGAGCCACCCCGCCCAGCCTACGTGAGTTATTACTTCTGTTGAACCATTAGACCTGCCGTCTCCCATGCCCTCTGCCATGGCTGTGGGTGGCCCACAGGAGGCAGGCAGGCTCACAGTCAGCTGCTTTGGGTCAGGATCGGTGCGTGGCTCCCCTGCGTTACCTTTTTCCTAAGGTACCTCAGACTAAGTCCCTTCAATTACAGAACAAGAAAATGATCCTGCCTGGCATGTTGCATCCTGGAGGGAAGGATTGATTTTGCCCTACATGCAAATCCTAGTTCTTACCCCTTCAGTACCCTCCACCTACTGCACCTCATTCTGCCCATGCACAGTTTCCATCATCAAAGAGCCTTCCAGCCTGCAAGCTGTGTATGGGCGCCCACTCACCCACGTAGAGGATTAGCACACACCTCACCTCCTGCAGTGTAGACATGCCTGGAGTAATGCCTCTGTGGTCCTGTGTAGCCCTCAGAGGCCCTCACACAGTGGCTGGTGACTGCAGAGTTTCAGTGAAGATGTGGACTGAATGATTTCGTGTTAAATACGCTCTTTCAAGAACTCCAAGTGGGACGTTATCAGTAGCAAGGCTGTCACTGTCTGGGACTCTCAGGCCCATTCAGCAGCTAGCAGTGAGCACCTGCTTTTGTGGGAAGGCATGCAGGGACCTGGGGTGGAGGCCAGGAGGACGCCCAGAGCCTGGCTCCCTGGCCATCCAGAGCTCTAAGGAGCAAGGCATGGCCCTAGGGCTGGATGTGGAGGCTGTTTATTCCATCTCCTTACACAGGGAAAAAACCACCTCTTCCATTGTTGAGTTCATCCAAGACAAACAGCGGTCAGGAGAAAGGGAAGCGGGCTCCCCAAGAAGGGGTGTGCTCAGGATCAGCCTCTGGCTGGGTGGACAGGGAAGCATGGGGTGTGGTGGGCTGGAAGCAGCAGCAGCGCTGAGCAGAGCAGCGGGGCTCACTCCTGCGGGCAGTGGAAAGGGCACAGCATCAGCAGGGATCTGTGTCATCCACAGCTGCTTTATACGAACCCACTGTGGGTAGGGTGAGGATGGACCCACCTGGGCAGGGAGGCCAGTGTGACGGTTCAGGCGAGCGGTTTTCAATCACGGCACTGTGTCAGCAGGGCTTTGGGGAAGTGTTTGCAAGCTGTGTAAGGGCGTAGGGGATTGGGCATAGCTCGCAAGCTGTGACGGGGTAAGGGACTGAGCACAACCTGCAGCTACGGGCTTGCAGCTCCGCCACAGTCTACAGAAGCCATCAGAAGCTGGAAATTCTGAGGAGGCCTACACACGTGACCACACACCCGCTGCCAAAAGAGCAGGAAGGTCGCTCTTTGTTCTCACAGTTGTCTCTCCTGAGGTCTGGGTGGCAGCCAAAGAGGCAGTAATAGGATCTGAAGACTGAGCCCAGGAAGCCAGAGGCAGGGTGAGACTGGGGTGACAGCCAGGAAGATGTGGCTCTCTAGGGACACCACTGGGCTTTTCCTAGGGGAAGACACTGACGTGGAAGCTGCACTTTCTGCTGTTTCAGGGGGACTAGTGAACTGTCCAACTGCCTTCTCTCCTCCAGAAGCAGTGCAGAGTGGCTGGGAGGGAGGGGTTCTGGAGAGGATGCCTGTTCCCTCCTTAGCAAGGAGCTCGCTCCTGCAGCCTCAGCTTCCACACAAGCTGCAAGAGAAGCGGTGGTGTGGGCAGCGCAGCCTGTTTGTTCTGTTTGTTGAATATGAAAACTCGGATTCACAGAGGGGCCAAAATGCCTATTGCACCCAGGCATGGCTTCATCATGGAGACCTCCCGTGGAACAAAACAGAGGCACTGTGGTAGGAGGGTGTGCACAAACAGCACCAACATCAGAGGCAGGAACAGGCAGGGACTCGACCCCTCCGTGCCTTCCGCAAACGTATATTTCCTCCACATCAAGCCTGTGACATTGGGCGAAAGGGGTACCATGGCGTGGCAAGTGTGCTATGTTGAGGAGGGTTAAGAGTTGAGGCAGGATGATCCCTGGGTCAGACTCTCACTGAAGGTGGAATGAGAGTATCTGTGGGATTGAGATTTTAAGAAGTCCTGGACAGTAGGGGACACGTGCACGGAGGTGCTTGACAGGCTGAGTGTGAGACAATGTGAGCAGGCATGCAGCTGCTCAGAACGCGTAACAGCAGAGGGTAACGTAATAGTGTGACATTTTCTTCATTTAGACTCTGTTGGGAGAATCTGAATTTTCCAGACAACAGAAGATCATTCCATCCCATCGTGAAATCAAAAGTTGTATTTGTTTGCTCTTTATCCCTTGTGTGAGAAAGGGCTGGGGAGACTGATAGGGGTCCTGCCATTCGGGGCAGGGTTCCAGGACGCTGCCTCCTGGGAGAAAGCCGTGAGGAGGGTTTGGAGGTGGAGAGTCAAATCCACAAAATGGGGAGAGAAAGTCGATTCCAAGCATCCTTTCCAGGAAGGAAACAGCAGGTTGCAGAGGGGTGAGAAGGCACTCACTGACCTTCGCTGGGGCAGGGTGTGCAAATGCTTCCAGAGTTGCCTTTCAGCCCTTGGCTCAGTTTCTGAGCAAAGCAATATCAGGAATTGGCATTTTCTTAAGGACCTGCAATACACACCAAATTTCTAGTGGAGAGACAGCCTACTTCATAGTGTAGGCCCATGTTTGTCACAAGGACCTGTGTTTTGGGAAAGGACACCCACCTCCTCAATGTCAGAGGGTGAGAGAGGGGAGGGACACCCACTTAAATCAACTAAGAATCGATTTCAGAGAATGCTGTTGTACTGGCAGGCCATGGACAGGGAAGGGAGGATGAGAGGCTTTGGCAATGTGGCCATGAGAGAGGACAGTGGCTGCCAGCCTGGTCTCAGAGGTCCCAGTGGGGAAGGGAGGCAGTGAAGGGGCTGGGGCTTGGGGTACCAGGACTCATCTGTAAGGACCAGCAAGGGTTGGGGGATCAGAGCCACAACTCTCCTCTGAGGCCAGTGCAGGTGTCAGAGGCAGGGGTCACAGGGCCCTTACCCTCTCCTGCCCTCTGACATTGAGAAGGTGGGTGTCCCTTCCCAAAACACAGATCCTGGTGACACGCATGTCAGATCCCAGGAGATTTTGCAGCATGAGCTGCGATGTTCTGGCTTGCCACTTCTCCTGTGTCATCAGGTTACAAATTGTCATTTCTCATTAATTGTGTAGAGAACTCCTCATCCTCCACATTTGTAGATTTTCATTCTCTTGATTAGGAAAAATACACACCAAGTTAGAAAAAGTTATAGCTACAGCAACCCTGGCTCTGAGTGAAGTCACCTGTCAAGATTCATGTGCAGGAACTCACAACTGCAGACATTCATCAAGCTGTTCTGATGCACGGAGGTTCTGGGCTACATTCTGCCTAACAGATCGCTGGGAACTGGGCTTTAGACTGAGGCAGAACATAGCTGCCAAGATCTCAGGGGTGTCACTAGGAGAAAATGCTTTTCATTACAGGAACGGTGCCAGCAAGAAAACTACTTTGTATGTGTGTGTAAATTAGGGTATGTGAAACTCTCTAATAGCATTTCAGTTCATCAATACCACAAGCTAAATTAAAAAAAAAAGTGTGAGATTTGAATGCGAGGAGCAGGTGGTACACTGGAGTCAGGCTCTCCACAAGTGCCTCGCTACAGCGTGGGTCCCTTCATGTCTCCAAGCTGCAGCATCCTCTTCATGAGATGGAGAATCCTGCCTATTTCCCAGAGTTTTACGAGCAGTGAGATGAAGCCATAAGGTAAAGTTTGAGAAGGACTCTAAAAGCTATGGACAAAAAAAGAACACTCTGCTTGTAGCCTGTGAGTTGTGAGCAGGGAATCTGAGGGGTACGGGCGCTGGTGCTAAGACAAAGGGGGTCAGGAAGCCGTTCTGTGTTCTGTGTTCCGGGAACATGGGACGGACTTGCAGAGGTAGGCCTTTACTTTGCAGGCATCTTGGCAGCTAGAAGCTTCAGTTCTTTGCAACAAGGAACTGGAACTTATCCTTTGCACCCTAAAGTCACCCCACCCTCCAAGTCTGCCTTCTCCCCATCTGAAACACCAAGACTAAAAGAAGGCCATCTGCTTAGGAGAAGCAACTCTGATGGCTGGACTCATGCATCTCTGAACCTCCCACATCCCAGAAGAGAGGCCTTACCCAGGCAGGCCAATACCACATGGTAAGATATTTAGTTTCTTCTTAATCTGACCACCCTATGATTTCTTAGATACATCTCACAGAAAGCACAGAGATAAAACCAGAGCAACAGCAGTTGTAACTGTAAAAATAAAGCTAGAAATGGAACCACCTCATTCTTGCCTGCCTTAAGTCACTTGGAACTAGAGTATTTAATGTTTGAACATCAACATTTTTTTTTTGGAGGGCCACTATGTGTCAGTGTTTATGAAAAAGCAGAACACAAGAAAACCCCTTCTCTTAAAAAACTCCTTTAGTGGAAGTTATAGACCAGTGAACACAACCGCAACATGGCATGAGAAATGCTATTCTAAGTTTAAGCCCCAGATACCTGAAGAGCTGGGAAACATCAAGGTCCGATAGTTTAGGAGGCTCCATGCAGGAAATTGAGAAAGCAGGGCAAGAACATCAGCAACGGAGGTAGGAAGCTGGAGAAAAGGGCAGAAAAAAGCAAAAAAAAAAAAAAAAAAAAAAAAGGGCAGGGACCAGATGCAGCCAAGTATTTCGTTTAGGAAGGCCCTTCCCACAGAGGCTACCTTTCAAATTAAGAGGGGAGATGCAGTTTTGCCCTCCTGGAAGGAACACCCTGAGCTTCTTTCAGGAACTTCCTCTGCCCATCTTGGCCATGTGGTCTGGTGGACTGGACCCTAGAGTCGGGCCAGGCTCTAAGCTGGTCACTAGATCTCATCTTAAGGGCCCAGAAGAAGGATCAAACAGGGCTGTGCAGCCAATAGAGCTGGAGGGTTATTTGCTGGGAAAGGAAGTCTCCGTTGTATCTACAGGAGTTACTGAAAGGGACCTTCTCTTTCTCTACCTACAGACAGGGGAGTAAGTGACATCTGCAGCCACCACCATTTTGCTACCACAGTGAGGAGACCCTGGATGAGGATGAAAGCAATAGAGGCCTCTCCTTGGTCTGAGCTGCATAGAGTTGTGGCAGTGGTATAGCAAGTGACAGAATCCACGTAATCTCACAGTTCAGGGACCAAGGAGTCCTACCTTTCTTTCTGAGATGAGAAAGCAAGAGGAGGAGGGTGGTCAAAGGGCTTGCCCAAGGCTCCCCGTTCATTAGCTTTGGAGCCAGTGTGAAAGCTATTGACACTAATGGTTTTCCAGTTGATTGCTTGGTCTACCCTAACATACAGTCCGCTCACAATGGCCAAACAATGGCTATGAATGTAAAGAAAGTGGGCAGAAAAGTGGCGGCCATGAGAAAATGCATGCCCCCTTTGGATCCCAACCTTGATGACCTGATGAAAGCCCAGAGTGGCCACAGGGCAGGTGGCAAAGCATGCTGACCCCTCACAGGCTTTGTTCACATAGAGCTAGTCTAGAGCCTTCTAGCCCCTGCCAGCTACAGTCATGAGCTGTCCAAGAACAGAATACATATCCTTAGGCAATTTTGTCACTGTGCAAACATTATAGTGTGTAGTAACAAACACCTAGATGGCATAGCCTGCTGTACACCGAGGCTGGGGGCACAGCCTGGTTGCTCTGGGCTGCAAATCTGTACAGGGTGCTGTGTTACTGTACTGAATACTGCAGGCAATTATAAGTATTTGCACATCTAAACTACGATGCTAAGTATTTGCGCATCTAAACTACGATGCTAGGTATTTGCGCATCTAAACTACGCTGCTAGGTATTTGCGCATCTAAACTACGCTGCTAGGTATTTGCGCATCTAAACTACGATGCTAGGTATTTGCGCATCTAAACTACGCTGCTAGGTATTTGCGCATCTAAACTACGATGCTAGGTATTTGCGCATCTAAACTACGATGCTAGGTATTTGCGCATCTAAACTACGATGCTAAGTATTTGCACCCCTAAATTTCTAAACAGAGAAGAGGTTTAAAATATGCTATAAGAGATGTAAAATATCATATGCTTATATAGGGCACTTACCATGAATAGAGCTCACAGACCCGGGAGTTACTTCTGGGTGAGTGAGTGAGTGAGGAGTGAAAGTGAAGGCCTAGCTGTTGCTGCTACTACAGACTTTATACACACTCCACACGGAGGCTACGCTCAATTCATATGAACATTTCTCTCTTCAGTAAGTTAACCTTAGCCTCTTGTGACTTTTTTACTACGAAAATTTTTTCATTTTTTAAACTTTTTTATTGTCATAATAATATTCAGCCTAAAATACGAACACAACTGTACAAATATATACGTATATATTTAATATCCTTATTCTATAAGCTTTATGCTATTTTTAAATTTTTTTATTTTTTTAAAACTTTTTTTCTGTTAAAAACTAAGACACACACACACACATTAGCCTAGACCTACACACAGTCAGGATCAGCCACGTCACTGTCTCCCACCTCCACATCTTCTCTGAGTAGAAGGTCTTCGGGGCGGCAACACCACGGAGCTGTCATCTCATATGATATTAGTAACAATGCCTTCATCTGGATCCCTCCTATCACATCTCACTTACTTTTTCATAAGTAGTAGTACACTCTAAAATAATGATTTAAAAAGAACAGAATAGTAAATACTAGGCAGAATCCATCTTTCAGCTCCACCGGAAAATCTCACAGGCCCACCATGGTATCTGTGGTCTGTCATTAGGCAAAACATGGTGATGTGGGGCACGACTGTCTCTGTTGAGCTTTAAACTAGCAGAAACCTTAGCAAAGTCCTCTCAATCTGGCCCATCATGTCACATACCCCCTTTCCCTCGCTGGTCCCAGTGTGGTGGCTCTACCCATACATGCTTTCTCTAGGAGATAGATCAAATGCCCCTAAAGCCTTCCTAGGTTCTTCTGGCAGAATTCACTCTTCTCTGTGCTGTACCCCATTATCCATGCTGCAAATACAGCACTTCAAGCCCCCAATGGTCACAGCCCACACCTGCATCTCCTGCTGATCAAGGGACCAGGGGGGCAGGGATTATGTCTTACCTAGGAGTCCAGGACACTTGGCACCAGCCAGGTGTTCAAAAATGAATAAAAAATTAAATGAATAAATATCCACTATGTACATGAGGAAGCACCCACTACGTGTGGTACCCATAATGCAAAGCTAACAGGGACATAAAGATGTGCAAAGGAAGACTATCCCCGAAATCAGTTGAAAGTTTCAGTGAGGAAATGCCACTTATTTCCTAATAAGTTACACAATCAGAAACTTGGGGTTTACGTAGCTTTTCCACAGCATACCAGGTAAATGACCTTGCAAATGTATAGGAAAAAACAAAATGATTGTATTATTTATCACCAGGCATGCTCCTGCTCAATACTTTATAGACATTATCCCATTTAATTTGTTCATGAGGTTAATCACATTTTAGAGGTGAATAAACCAAGGCTCAGAGAAGTTAGGATGCTTGCTGAAAATCACAGAGTTTGCAGGTAGCAGAGGCAGAGCAGAGATCTGAGCCTACACCACATAGCAATGTTCAACCACACAACTTAACCAACCATCTGGTCCCAACGTTTTATTTAAACCACTAAGAGTCACTTTCATTGTAGTTATTCCATAGGAAAGATTCTGTCTACTAAAAGTTACCTTTTTATTTAAGACAAGGTCTTGCTCTGCTGCCCAGGCTGGAATGCAGTGGTGCAATCATGGCTCACTGCAGCCTCAATCTCCTGGGCTCAAGCGATCCTCCTGCCTCAGCCTCCTGAGTAGCTTGGAGACACAGATGCCGCCACCACGCCCAGCTAATTTTTTTTATTTTTTGTAAAGACAAGGTTTCCCTATGTTGCCCAGAGTGGTCCTAAACTCCTGAGCTCAAATAATCCTCCTACCTCAGCCTCTCAAAGTGCTGGGATTACAGGTATGAACCACTGTGCCTGGGCAAAAAGTTACATTTTAATTTTAATTTTATTTTATTTATCATTACTATTTTTTTTTTGAGACTGAGTTTCACTTTTGTTGTCCAGGCGGGAGTACAATGGCACAGTCTTGGCTTAGTTCAAGTGATTCTCCCAGGTTCAAGTGATTCTCCTGCCTCAGCCTCCCGAGTAGCTGGAATTACAGGCATGTGTCACCACGCCTAGCTAATTTTTGTATTTTTAGTAGAGATGAGGTTTCACCATGTTTGCCAGCCTGGTTCTGAACTCCTGACCTCAGGTGATCCAACTGCCTTAGCCTCCCAAAGTGCTGGGATTACAGGCTTGAGTCACTGTGCCCGGCCAAAAGTTATATTTTTAAGTAACAACTTTCTATGATTATATATCAAAACCCTGTCATCTGGGTTCTAATGGCAAAATTCCTAAATGCAAATAAGTAGCTCGTATCAGAATAGATATAATTCAGGCTCAAAGCAAAAAAAAAAAAATATATATATATATATATACACACATATATATAATTTATATATACATTTTAAATAAGTAATATATATATATAAAATATATGTCTATACATAGTTTTATTTGGCTTATTCAATCTTGCCATGGTTAAGAAAATAACGTTCACTGGACTATTTTATTAAGAACTAATCGAAGTGTGGACATTTCTACCTTCCCAGATAACTAGGAAGTTATCCCATCCCATCCCTGGGATGGGACCACAGCACCTCCCGTTTTGAGCTTCACGTTTCCACCTTCTGGATGAGAGCCCCGTGTCTAGTTATGGCAGCTGTCAGAATGGAAACAACTCTGACAGCATAACACCACATAAACATTCTCAGGATAACTGTCAAATGCCGCAAGTGAAAGACAGACCTAAATGGCTCTAATATGCCCCATTTTAAGTTAAAACAGCTTCTACATTTTAGATTTCAGCCCGTAAGGAATCCCCAGGCCACTCCCCACACAGGTTGCATCTCTGACTGACACAGCGAACATGGGGTGGGCACTCATGGTGGGATAACAGTAGCCATATTTTCAAAATACACGTCCACAGTCCTTTCTCTCCTGCCAGTGCTCCAGCACGGAATTTGTTGGTTATATACTTACATGTCACTATTTTACACACAAATGTTCAGCTTTACACTTGGTCTTCTAAAGTTAGATTTCACACTAATCCAAATGGAACCATGTGAGCTATCGGGTAGTTCTCACCACCCCTAAGTTCCCAAGGCCTGGCACAGCACCTGGAGCATGTGATGGGCCCCCAGGCACAGGCTCTTGGGACCTCCAGAGAATCACCAAGAAGCCACCAGGCACCCTGCAAGCAAGGAAACCCCAGAGAACCTGCTTCAGGGGAGGGCCATATTAGCAATTGCCAGGCAGATCCCTTTCACACGGAAATACATCTAAGGAACGCAGGTGAGTGGACGGTACGTCTCTGGCTGTGGATATCTCGGCATGTTCCTCCTGCTCTTGGGCACCTGGAACACCTTGGTGGTGTGGGATGTGGACAGGGACGCAGCGTCAGTCGTTAGCAAACCTGCTGAACCACACAAATCATTTCTGAGTGCCTCTCTTGAGAAAAATCTTCCTCAGAAGACATTTAGGGAAAACTGCCCAAAGTCTGTTTTTATTCCTGCCGTTCTAAACCCAAACTTAGAAGCAAAATGAGAAAGAACTAGGCCTGCTGACTGCCTACCACATGTCAGGTACTTCACATATGTTCTTCCACTTGAACTTGGAGGTAAAATATTTTTATCTCCATTATACAGATGGGGTAAATGAGGCCTGCTCAGGTCAGAAACAGAGCTGACATTTCAGCTCCAGGATGCCTAATGCCAAATGCCTTGCTTTTCCCTCCAGCCTTGTCCTCCTGGAGATAGTTACTTCAGCACTTAACTGTAATGTAGTAACTATTTTTGTAAGAGTGCCTCCCTCTTAGACAATTTTCTTCCTTCCCATGTCTGCACCCCCTACCAAGAAAAGGACAGTTGCAACTCCTCTGGCCACAGACTCCGGGCTCCTCCCCACGACCTGCCCCCAGCTTGGGGTGACCTGCAGCACACACAGAGGGGAAGGAGCGCCACCGAAGCCATCAGGGAACCCAGACACCTCCTCCCTTCTCAATCTGCAACAACACAGGTGCTTCCTTCTCTTCACACCACAGTGAGCTAAGGACAGAGGCTGAAATATTTTCAACATTTCCATTTTTAGTAAAACTTGTAAAAAAAAAATCACAGCTGTGCCCCTGCTTCTTGGTATTCTCAGCAACCTCTTATGGAGAACACAATGCTAGCTTCTTCCTTTCATATCCATTGACTTCAATTAGGCTTTTGGTCTCAATTTGAGTGGGTTATTTGTTTTTACTACAATTTCCTAGAAATAGAAAACTAAAACAACAGTAACAAAAGTGAAAGCCTCAGCAAAAAGGCCAGGGAGAATGAAGTATCTCAAGGGTAAGCACACAAGCTATGGCCTCTGACAGCAGGCAGGCGACTGACTGCAGAGACCGTGAATGTCCCCCAGGCATTTTTGGCTGAGGGGTATCCATTCAATCAGTTCAAAAGATGTCCTTTCAGGCAAGAGGAGGTGATTTTACACAAAGTTAATTACTGAATCCACCTTGACAGGGTCTACCATCCTAACTCACCTAGAAATGACAATGAGCCCCATTCACTGTGTTAATAGGATGGAGATCGATCTCCCTCCTGTCCTTCTCCACCTCAGAAAAATGTCAAAAGCAACTCCCTTTCCTTCAGGTTGGAGCTACATTCCCAGTGCTTTAATGAGGCACATTTGTTGGACAGCAACTACAGTTACTGAGATCAATGCACTTCAATCCATGAGCCAGATGAGCTCTCCTGGGTCGTGCACTAAACTAGGTGCTAGATGGACAGAGAACAGGCCAGAAATTCTTCCGCCCTTAAGAAAGTCTGAATCTAGCATAAACAAGAAACAGAAGACACAGGCTTAAATGTCTGTAAAGCTCCCTCTCCTTATCTATAAAAGATAAAAATATTTGCTGTGCCTACATACCAAGGGCACGATGAGGCACAAATAGAATAAAGTCTGAAAGCTCTGCAAGAAAGACGAAGGCAACAGTGCACAGGTTGGGACGGACTGTCCGAGTGACAGATTATAATCCAGGCATTTGAAAAACTCACAGGGAAGCCGTCTACACCATCCACGTGTAACAGCAGTTAAATTCAGAAGCAATTTTTTTTGGAAGACAGTTTTTCATTTTTCTTTTCTGTACTTTTTAAAATGATAAATGTTGTGTTTTTCAGCTTCATTTAGTTATAATTGATAAAGTGTCCATTTTATACTTAAAATGAACAGTGTGATGCTTTGATATATATATATATATTTTATATACATGCATATACCATAAAACCATCAACTAATTAAATATCCATCATCTCACATAGTTACGAATTTGTCTGTGTGTAATGAGAATACTTAAGATCTATCTTCATAGAAACTTTCAAGTATACAAAACAGTGTGATCAACTACAGTTGTTATGCTGTACGTTAGGTCTCTAGAACTTACTCAACCTGCATAACTGCAAGGTCACACCCTCTGACCTATCTCCTCACTCCCTGCGAACTCCTGGCAACTCCCATCCTACTTCCTGTTCCTATGCATTCGCTTTATTTTTTCATTCGTTCCTTGAATGGACAGAAACAATAAGCAAAAGTCAATGAGATTAACAAAAGTAAACCTCACACATTCATTTATCTTTTCTGATAGACAAAATTTAAGGTTTGAGTTTGACTCAAACCCCAAACTTCTTGACTTGGAAGTCTCTATATTCACTAAGCACCAAAGGATCATCTGGCCCCAAAAGAATGCTGCCTACATCATAACAAATATCAAATGTGATTTAAAAATATCTACTTTCTGGTTCAGCACAAAACCAGTGAAAGACTAATGACTAAAGACTAATGACTGATTAGCTACACGCATCACTGGCACTGCCGCGACCCCGGGCACATTGATTATTGAAATACATTTGATACAAGGTGTGGAAGCTTTCGCTGTGCAGCAAGGAGAACATGCATATCACTAGCTTCTAAAAGCAATTGCTTTTGCACCACAAGCGACTGGAATGGAAATCTTCGACTTTGGGAGCCTGCCTGACTTACAGAAGAATTCTTCCAAGAACTGTGTGAAGGCCTCAACAAGAAGACTCCACTGTCAGGCAAAATGTAGTCCAAAGGTTTGCCTAGTGTCCCTGAAAATGAAAGCAAAACGCTCATCCTAAAATCACTGTAACATATATTATATCCAAAAAGACCAACCAGGGTACAGAAGATGCATTGGCACTGGGCGATGGTTGTCATCTGCTCCACTGGGTACTCCCCGAGACAGAGCTTGCAAGATACCAGCGGGTCGAGGGCCAGGTCCCAGGTGGGCCGGTACCTTGCTGTGGTCATCGCAGAACAGTCTGAAATGAGAGAAGCATGGAAGGTCAGACCTCCGCACCCCTGGCGTCCACCTGCTCTGTGGCAGGAGTCACATCTCCTGGCTGTTGCTGGGGCCCAGGGTGGCGGCCAACTGACCATTGATGGGGCCCAGAGCATCTGGATGCTCTGAGCGGTTTTGTTTTGTTTTTTTTTTAAATGGAATCTCACTCTATCGCCCAGGCTGTTGTGCAGTGGTGTGATCTCAGCTCACTGCAACCTCCGCCCACTGGGTTCAAGTGATTCTCCTGCCTCAGCCTCCCAAGTAGCTGGGACTTCAGGCACAGGCCACCACACCCGGCTTTTTGTATTTTCAGTAGAGACAGGGTTTCACCATGTTAGCCAGGGTGGTCTCAATCTCCTGACCTTGTGATCCACCCACCTCGGCCTCCCAAGCTCTGAGAAATTTTAACCAGGGGTGCCTGACTTGGGTCTGTGAGTGGCTTCCTTACCATTCTAATAGTAACTTTCAAGTCTACCCTCAAAATGCCAAAGGACTCACCCATACACCCGTCCTCCTCCCTCCCACTGATGTACGTTTTAGTAACACCCTGCCAACCTGGGTCCTAACCCAGGAGGGCGAAACCTTCGCCATCTCAGAAGAGAAGCTTTTGCTAAAATACTTATTGCTTGGATTTAACTGTCCTCCAGTGTTAAAGACATGGCAAACATGAGGACAAGCCTGGGTGGAAGGGTCAGAGCAGAAAGCCTCGGTGAGGGCAGCGAGACTTGAGTTTTCCGGGCAGCCGGAAAGGAGGTGGACATTGAATAGAAGAAAGGTCACAGCATCTTTCACCAGAAGACAGGGTACAAGGGTCACAGGGAGGGGCAGGACCAGCGCTATGCTCTGTGATCGGACAGAACTCCATTTCTAAAACTCCCTCTGCCCATAAACAGACACTTCCCTAACCACTCTCAGCCTCAGCTGGCTCATCCCTGCCATCGAGCGATAATCCCCTCTCACAGAGGTGTCCTGAGAATGAAGTGACATCATAGAAAGGGTTGGCCACACACAGCGAGTGCTCAGGAAAATCCCTTCCTCCCTGTGAGGGTTAACACTGAGTGTCAACTTGATTGGATTGAAGGATGCAAAGTACTGTTCCTGGGTGTGCCTGTGAGGGTGTTGCCATTTGAGTCAGTGGACTGGGGAGGCAGACCCGCCCTCAGCCAGGGTGCGCACCATCGAATCAGCTGCCAGCACAGTCAGAATAAAAATCAGGCAGAAAAACGTGGGAAGACTAGACTGGCTGAATCTTCTGTCCTCCATTGTTCTCGCATGCTGGGCTTTCTGCCCTCGAGTATCAAACTCCAAGTTCCTCAGCTCTGGGACTCTTGGACCTTTGACAGCAGCCTGAAGGCTGCACTCTTGGTTCCCTACTTTTGAGGTATGGGGGCATGGACAGGCTTCCTTGCTCCTCAGCTTGCAGACATCCTATTGTGGGACCTCACCTTGTGATCATGTGAGTCAGCACCGCATCATAAACTCCCCTTTATCTAAACATCTATCTTGTTAGTTCTGGCCCTCTACAGGGCCTCAAGTAAATCACTCCCCTTCCCCTGTGATGCCTCCTTCAGCCATAGCTTAGCAGGCAGAGAACGTGGTGATGCCGCTTTGCGCAAAGCTAAGTGTGGGACTTACTGTCACTTGAGTAGTGAATTCCCAGGGTCAAGGAGCTGTCCTGACTTAAGAAAAAAAATCACAACATCCCTTTCTCAATTTTTGTGACTCACAGCTCCCTGGGTGCCGCTGAGTGAACATTTGGTTAGTAAAACTCACCTGCTGAGTTCTACAAGGCACGAGGAGGGAGAAGACACGTGTGGCCCAGAAGGAAGTGCCTTCAGGGTCCTGAAAGCTCACCCAGCAGATGGGACCCAGTGACGCAGGACAAAGGACGTGAGAGGCGAAAATGAGCCAGATTCGGGGAGGAGACCCTGCTATCAGAGCTCAAGCCACTGAGGGGGCGGCTGAAGGCGGCCTGGGATCTGCACTGGGAATCCGTGCAGGCCTTCGGCATCGGGGGCGGGAGTGGGCCGCAGTCGGAGGGGCCCCTTCCAAGGGCAGCAGATGCCTGTGAGTCACTCAGTCTAAAATATGTGTGTCTTCCTTGTTACAAAAGGACTCCTTGACGCAAATTCCAGGAGCTTTGGGCAGGCTAGCACTTTCAAGATAATGTAAGCAAGCATCCTGATTTGACCTCAAGCTGGTGGGTCCTGAGGAGTGAGGTAACTGGAGGCATCACGCAGCTCTCTGGGGCTGCAGGGGGTGCAGATATCAAGGCGTCTCTCCTCTCCAAGGTCATTTTCATTTGGATCATTGCTCTACACCTTGAATTTTATGATTATGCTTATGCTAATACTTATGCTTGTCATCGCTTTAAATCTCTACATGGGTTTTTCTGGGTCCTAAGCTGATGGGCCTTGACATTGTTCTTTACATTTCTTCGTATCTTTTACTGTTTTAATACTTAATAATTTTTTTTAAGTAGCATCTCTTAAAGTTCACTGGACAACGTGATAACTATGTTTTAAAATGCTGGCTGGCCCTAAATTGGATCACGAACCTCAGCCCTGGGCACTGGGGCTTGAGGCAGGCTGCAGAGATCAGTCAAGACTGGAAATGTTTCAATAGGGCTGGGGCTGCCAATTGGCTCCTCTGGCCTGGAGACCTGGGGAGAGCTTGCTGTTGACCATGCTGAAAAGGCACAGGGTACGGGTTCTGCCGAGCTGCAGGGGAAGTTGTAGGATAAAGGGTTTGCGCTTTGCAATCAAGCAGACTGGGCTTCAGATTCCTTTTTTTGGCCACTTGGTTATGTGATGTAGAAGAAATTGCATAACTGACTTTACTTCTGTGAACTTCACTTTTGTTTTTGTTCCCCCCCCCTCCCCCGTAATATATTTACAAGTTTCTGGGAGATACTACGAGCTTGGTTAGTGGAAGTCATTACAATGTCAGCTTAGCAAGCTTAGACTTTAACGTACATAGATGAAATGGATAAAACAAGCTCTTGGGCAGACATTATATGGTAAAATTCGGCATTTAGGAAGCTCATGCAGTGGAGAAAATTTTTAGAAGAATCAAACATCAAAACCTCCTAAAGCCTCCTCCCTTATCCTCAGCCACGCAGTAATGCTCCCAGCCTGGACGTCACCCGAGAACGCATTACCAAATGGCAGAGCCTAACCACCCCACGTGGGGCCCCTGAATCCCTGCCTCCATCCCACGGGAACAGCTCCCTGCCCACAAGCCAGCTCCAGCCTCTGTCCTGGACCATTGCCCTACCCCATCGTGCTTCTTCCTAAGACAATTCTCTCTCTTTCCAGCTTCAGATCTGGGCTCCTTTTCCTGTTTACAGCCCCTCTGTCGTGACCCCTGGCACGGTGTACAGGGCTCCATCTGTCTGACTGCCTTTCTGTTTGGACCATGATTTCTTATTCAGCCCCCAGTGGCTTCCCCTGTCCTGGGCACAGGTCGGCCTGTGGCCCTCACCTCCCACTCCCCCAGCAAGCCCCATAAGCTGGATTTGAAGCAGGTCACATTCCTATTTCCAGGAATCATATCGCTATTCTTTCCCCAACAGAATACACAGCCTCTGAGGTGCGCTAAAAATCATGATTCAAACGGTGACAACAGGATATATTTTACAGAAAAAAAAAAAGGTCTATATTGTCTAAATCCATCACGGACCTTCCCTACACACAGGATGGCCTTAATATGATTTTGCAAACAGTCAACAGCTGCGAACTTGCAATCAGATTGTGCTACGAGAATCACAATGCACAATAAAAGAAAGCGCAGTCTTTGTTTTCCTAATGTGAATGTCAAGTCATATGAAATGGCAAGCTGTTTCAAGAACATCTGGTCCATTATAAGTATTATTCGATTTAAGCAATTCAAAAAGCGTATGAGGCAATTTACTTATTAAGCATGACTGAGGCTGTGCAAAGGATTGTGCCTTGTGATGGAAGAGGTAGAGACACAAGAAGAGAGAGCTGAAGAGAAAATAGTCAATTGAGGGAGAGATCTGGCAGATTCATGTGAGGTCCAATGTGGTTATTTGGCCAGAACTATCCCACCTCTGAGCCCCAGGGCTACAGACCTCTGTGGGCTCCTATTCTTCCCACGTTTTCTCCTTCCAAGCAAACCTGGGAAAGGGCAGGCAGCTGCCATCCAGTCATCATCCACCTGTTACTCTCACGACTTCCTCCAGCAGGTCCCTGCTCTCCTCCATCTGCCTGGGACACACTCACATTTCCTCCCCAGCCTAACTCCCTTCTCCTTACCCACCACTCCTCCACAGCCCACGAAGCCTGCACACCCAGCGTCAGCCCCGGCGCTGTGTGGCATCTCCTCTGATTCTCACATCTCTCAGCTGTCTCTCCTGTCCCTGGGTCTCTGCTGTGTGTGACCCACCGGGATTCTTGAGCTGTGCTCTCTGAGCAGCAGCAGCAATCAGCATCAGCATCACCTGAGAACTTGCTGGAATGTAACTGGTTGGGCTCCAACCCAGACTCATTAAAACAGAAACTCTGGGGAGGTGGGTGGGCAGGCACAGTGATCTGTTTCCATGAGGCTGGCGGGAATTCTGATGCACAACAAAGCCTGAGAACCGCTGTTGTGTATCCTTCCACTCCACAGCATTTCCACCCAGGTCCATCTGACTCAAGTCTGTGTGGGCTGAAGCCCATCTAACGCGCAGTTCTTCAACAATACCAAAACTCAGCTGTCGTGTCTACAAGGCACGGGGCCAGACTCTCATAGTAACTCTCATTTCTTCTGGGTAAGTGTGGCTTTGGAAGTCCACCATGTCACCAGTCCTTCTGGGTAAGTGTGG